AGTACGAAACGTACACACGTAAAAAAAAAAAAACCATTTTTAAATTTTAATCATTTTCTTTTTTTTTGCACTTCCGTTTGGGACTGTCTCTTATACACATCTAGATGTGTATAAGAGACAGGTCTTGAACCCGGTCCAAACGTCCAGGCGGTTACCATGCTTTTTTTTCACCCTTCACAAAAATTGCTTTCTCAGTACGAAACGTACACACGTAAAAAAAAAAAAACCATTTTTAAATTTTAATCATTTTCTTTTTTTTTGCACTTCCGTTTGGGACTGTCTCTTATACACATCTAGATGTGTATAAGAGACAGGTCTTGAACCCGGTCCAAACGTCCAGGCGGTTACCATGCTTTTTTTTCACCCTTCACAAAAATTGCTTTCTCAGTACGAAACGTACACACGTAAAAAAAAAAAAACCATTTTTAAATTTTAATCATTTTCTTTTTTTTTGCACTTCCGTTTGGGACTGTCTCTTATACACATCTAGATGTGTATAAGAGACAGGTCTTGAACCCGGTCCAAACGTCCAGGCGGTTACCATGCTTTTTTTTCACCCTTCACAAAAATTGCTTTCTCAGTACGAAACGTACACACGTAAAAAAAAAAAAACCATTTTTAAATTTTAATCATTTTCTTTTTTTTTGCACTTCCGTTTGGGACTGTCTCTTATACACATCTAGATGTGTATAAGAGACAGGTCTTGAACCCGGTCCAAACGTCCAGGCGGTTACCATGCTTTTTTTTCACCCTTCACAAAAATTGCTTTCTCAGTACGAAACGTACACACGTAAAAAAAAAAAAACCATTTTTAAATTTTAATCATTTTCTTTTTTTTTGCACTTCCGTTTGGGACTGTCTCTTATACACATCTAGATGTGTATAAGAGACAGGTCTTGAACCCGGTCCAAACGTCCAGGCGGTTACCATGCTTTTTTTTCACCCTTCACAAAAATTGCTTTCTCAGTACGAAACGTACACACGTAAAAAAAAAAAAACCATTTTTAAATTTTAATCATTTTCTTTTTTTTTGCACTTCCGTTTGGGACTGTCTCTTATACACATCTAGATGTGTATAAGAGACAGGTCTTGAACCCGGTCCAAACGTCCAGGCGGTTACCATGCTTTTTTTTCACCCTTCACAAAAATTGCTTTCTCAGTACGAAACGTACACACGTAAAAAAAAAAAAACCATTTTTAAATTTTAATCATTTTCTTTTTTTTTGCACTTCCGTTTGGGACTGTCTCTTATACACATCTAGATGTGTATAAGAGACAGGTCTTGAACCCGGTCCAAACGTCCAGGCGGTTACCATGCTTTTTTTTCACCCTTCACAAAAATTGCTTTCTCAGTACGAAACGTACACACGTAAAAAAAAAAAAACCATTTTTAAATTTTAATCATTTTCTTTTTTTTTGCACTTCCGTTTGGGATGGGGTTTCCCACCAAAAGAGAACAAGCTGAGAAATAAAGTTTTGTGAAGGGCGAAAAAAAATGAAAATGATTACAAATGATTAAAAAAAAAAAAAAAAGGTGTGAACATTTTTATCTGTTTGGGATCGGGTTCGTGCCAATTTTCCACGTCTGGTGACGATTAGTGTCGCCGCGGATGGAAGGCTGGACATTTGTTTCTCCTGCTTTTTTTGTAAAGTATTCGTAGTCCGTATACAGTGAGCAGTCTTTTAGCTGTCCACCCAACGGTTGTCTTATTCGCTGTGTATTTGTCTGGGCCCAAGAGACTGCGGTGTGATCTGATGCATGCCTTTGGATGAGGTGTCGTCTGATATAAGCCCGCTAGGTTTTCACTTTTTCCTTTTAGCAGTGGGATTGTACGTATGCTTAATTGCTGATATAAGCCGGACATTTGTTTCTCCCCCTGCGGGCGCCATGGTTATGGCTCAGGTAACAGTCTATTCTGCAAATCTTTTTACGATGCAAGGGACGCCGGACCCGTTTTCCGGCTCGTATAATTCGAAGCAGCCAGCCGTCGTATGAACCTGGCCGGAGTGCCTGGATCATATGACACAGGCTGCCCCTTTTTCAAAAGAAAAAAAAAAGAAAAAGAAAAAAAAAGATGACAACCTGGGAAAGAAAGAAAGAAAGAAAAAAAAGAGCATTGGTGCGAGGATCTGGGTCCTCGGCAGGCCTGAGGGGCCCGGAGACAACTGTGCCCGCCCTAAGTGAAGGCGGGCCTAACAAATCCCGAGAGGCCCATTGCTGTCAATGTCGTACTTGGGGTCCAGGCAGTTGCAACGCGCCAGTTGGTTAAGGAAACACAGGCACGAGGAGCAAAGATTTTCCACAGCCTTCTAGGCCTTTCCTGAAATGCAGGCCCTGGGCAAGAATCGCGGCTTCATACACAGACAGTTGGGAGGCCCAACCGAACGAGGCCCAGTAGCTGCAACAGAGGCACCTGTCAGCCTCCTGGGGCCTACCGGAAGTGGTCCTGGATAGGCCCCAGGAGGCTGTGCCTCTGTTGCAGCCACTGATTAGGAAGGGGAGGGAGGGGGGGGGGGGGGGGGGGGGGGGGGGGGGGGGGGGGGGGGGGGGGGGAGGATAAGCTAATGAGGAGAATGAGACGGAAGGGAAAAAAAAAAAAAACTGACTAGCGCCGGCGTTAGGGAAGAGGGGAACATGCAATCCCTTCATAATTGTGAGAGGTAGCAGCTATGCTTGTAGGGTAGCACATATGACCTGCTTAGTCGTGGTAGAAGGCAGGTAGTGAAAGGCGAAAAACGAATTTGAGAGAAGAATGTAGCATAGTTTTAAGGGGGGGAAAAAAACATATAGAAAACGAAAAGGAAAAAGAAACGCCAGCCCTTATTCTGTAACCCAGCCATAAAGGACAGACAGGGTAAGCCCCTTACTCTCACACAAAAGGACACAAAATGGGGCAGGTGGGTAGAACACGGAGTCTGGCAGATCAAACGTCTTTGGGCAAAGGATAGGCAGCCGTGGAAGACGGCCAGGGAGCTCAGAGCGGAATTGAAAGGATGCCACAGAGTATCCGAGAATCTCAATGACATACTCATATCCATACCGCAGGAGTGGGTAGCCATGTTGAAAAGGAATATTACGCAATGGGGACTAGGCGACTAGGTTACATGGAAACAAGAAGGGGAACCTACCGAAGCATTCCACATCTGGAGTCAAGAACCAGCCAGGAAGGAGTGGTTGAACGCAGACAGGTACAACATCATGAACCCAGGAAGCACCACCAGTCTCTTGGACTAGGACTCCAAGACTCCGGTCATCATCCAAGCGCTACACATACAAAAAGAATAAGAGTAGTGGAGACGGAGGATTTCACGATTTTTAGCCCAACCACTCCAATAGAAGAAGAAGAAGAAGAAGGAAAAAAAAANAAAAAAAAAAAAAAAAAAAAGAAGAAGAAGAAGAAGAAGAAGAAGAAGTTATACCTTTCTCGGCCTTTTGGCTAAGATCAAGTGTAGTATCTGTTCTGATCAGTTCAATATCTGATCCGTGTTCCATCGGACCACACGATATTAAATTAATTAAAAAAAAAAAAAAAAAAGAGTTAGATGTTGACCCGGTGGAATGGGCGTGGAATCTCAGAGGAGGAAGGTTGAGAATTTCAAGAAGAATCAGCATACTTAAACCACCAGTACTTGGGCACTGCGCGCCGCGCCGGCCGCACCTTTTTTGAAGCGGCGCGGGCTGTCGATACGATTTATGGACGGCCCGCCGGTAGCGAAATTCTTGTAGCGTTAACGCTAAGGCGTCGCCCAAGTACTGATGGTTTAAGTACACTACGCGAATTGGTTATCAACTGAGAAGGCGGCACCACCCTCTGAAGACCGTACTCACGAAGCGGTGGGAGAACAGAGTGGGAGCCTCCCTGGAGCAGTTACCCGCAATACCATGGTCAACGATCAATAGGATCAGACTTGGCCTATCCAAGAGCCTAGCTCAGTGGGTACACCCATGAACTGTTGAAATACAGACCTGTGTTCGAATCCAGATGATGGAACTTGACGAGTAAAATCAACTACTAATGAATTGCTTAGGGCCGGTCAGCTCAATGATAATATCTCAAGGCCGTTGCCCTTTAAAAAAAAAAAGAAAAAAAAAAAAAAGGATCAGACTTGGCCAGGTCAGAAGCTTGCAGTGGCTAATTAACCAGGTAGCCCTGCCGGTAAATGCTTGGCTAAACTTGAATGAGAAAAGAAGCCGAGCAAGAAGGGACCCCACCAACGCCCTGTGTTCAGTTTGCCAGCAGGGCTCAGTGGAAACAATGGAGCACAGCCTGCTGACATGCCCAAAGGCAGAGAGCCTATGGGAGATAGCCAGAACCCTCTGGAAACAGATGACGCAGAAGCCTTTCCAGCAAGAAAAAGAGACTTTGCTTTTGGGACACAACTGCCCTAGAGGATGATGGCCAACCTTCGAGAAGCAGCTATTTCAGCTCGTAAGACAGTACACAGTATGGACAATTTGGAAAAGACGCTGTCAGGTTGCGATAGGGAAGAGGCCGATGCATGAACAGGAAGCAAGGGAGATCCTCCTAAACCTAATCGAGACAGAGATTTGGGCACAGAGGCAAAGAACACAGCGGCAGATGAGGCAGCAACCGGACCAAGCGCAGGACCTGAAAGATAGATTTCACCGCAGAACCTTAGGGAAGGGTAAAATAGCAAGTATCCAGGCCACAGGCCTTGTTTTTTCGTGGAGATAGAGAGGGTGAGAAGGTCGCAGCAAAGGGAATGAGGCTAGCAACAGTGGGGTTTAGGGTTTACGGTAAGGTCCAGGAAGAAAGAATGAGGCAAGGAGAAGTTAGACAGAGGAGAAATTAGGGGCGATTTGAAAGGTAAAACGGGGACTTAGATAGAGCTTTTCCTTTCTTACTATTTGTTGGTTGTTAATCCAGTTTCCTTTTTTCAGGAATAGCATGTGAACAGATAGAAGGAAGGAGCACAGTGACCACCCTGCAATACTAGCCTAATCTGGGTAATGGCCCCAGTCATCCGGGTTGTGATGTGGAGGGATTCCCGGCCTCCTTTTGCTCTTCACATAATGGAAACATGCTATTTGTAAAAAAGAAAAAGAAAAAAAGAAAAAAAAAAAAGAAACAGAAACAGAAACAGAAACAGAAAAAGAAAAAGAAAAAGAAAAAGAACTGATTGGATGGATGGTTTGTAGTACTTTGTACCAATCTACCTGAAATGTGGGTGGGTGTTGGTTGGACCTGGAATTATCTTAGGTTCATCCCACCCAGCACTGGCTACTTTTCTATCTCAACCCCCATCTTCTTGTGCCAGGATGGGAGGATTGCCCCAGGAATACGATGCCGGGTGGTCGTGCGCTTTGCCCCAGACTCCCGGCGCGATTTCACGGACACGACCACTCTTCAGAGTGAAGTTGAGGTGATTCGTCTCCCACTTATCGCAAGCCGCCGAAAGCCGCTGTTGACCCTGCCGTCAACGCTCAACTGTGGCTTCTGCATCAAGGGCCATGGCTGCTTTGTCACCTTTGCATTCGCAAACCGGGGAGGCGAAGCAAGTTTCCGGATTCTTCCGTTGACCGAAGGTCATAGCGACGAAGACACCGTCTCGTGGATCGCCGACAAGGCGCGGCAGACAATGTGGGACAATCCGTTAATGGCAGCGTTGGGTGGAAGTGGCGATCTTGGCAGTGGTGGTGGACCGCCGCAGGGCGACCGGCGACTATCCGGAGTCGCCCTCCTTGCGAGCGTTGGGTTGGGGCATACTCCTGCCTCGGAGGAAAAGTTTAGCGGTGATGCTGGGGTCACCTCGCTGTCATCCGATAAGAATTTGATCAACGGCATCGATCATACGCTCAGTCCGGGTCCGGGGCCTTATGGAAGCGCTCAGACCGGGCATCATCATCACCGCCAGAGGGATGAAATGCAAATGACTGCGAATCTATCGCGCAGGGGGACGGGACCGGCAATTGGACCACCACCAGCTTCTGAACCAGCAGGTCCAGAAGGTGCTCCTGGAACTGGTACAGCTGGGGTGGGACCACCACCACCTGCAACAAGTGGACCAGATGCGGCAGATTCTAAACCAGCAGGTCCAGCAGGTGACACTGGAACTGGGACAGTTTGGATGCAACCAGCAACTGGACCAGACTTTGAACCAGAAGGTTCTGCAAGTGCTCCTGGAAATGGGACAGTTCTGTCCACAACCACAGGCCCAGTGGATGCTCCGTTCGATGCGCTGTCCAGTGGAGCGCAGCAAGGAGCAGATATCTTGAGGGAAGGGCCATTGACTCCTGGTGACACTTCTGCGGTCGATCATCCACATCCAGATCACCCGGCGGGGGGTATTGGAGATGCAGACACCACACAGACAGCAAGGCCCACTTTTAAGTCTTTACGAAAACTGCTCTCCCGATTATCGGACCCGAATATGGTCGCAATGAGGGGAAAACTTATCAAAAAATTTGGAGGAAGTGAAGAAGACAGTGGTGAGGTTGATCGGACCGGAGTCCCTGGAGTCACTGGAGTCGGTGCGAAAACCCCATCCGCTGCCGCTGCTGATCCGAATCAGGGAGCTCACGTGAGCCGCAAGGGAGGAGGAGGAGGAGGAGGAGGAGGAGGACATTCATCACCGCTTGGTCGAGGAGATGGCGAGAAAGGTCAACAGGCAACTGCAACAGCAACAGTTGTATCGGGAGATGAGGAATCGGGTTCATTTGCAAGACCAGGTGCATCTCTTGGCCCTGCATCCGCGGATAGCAGCAAGAAGGTGGGCGATCCGATGGATGATGACAAGATTGTGTCTGATGCAATCGATCGCGGCAATGTGGTGTCAACCGATGCGATTGACATCGGATTCCATCCACTTACTTCTTTGCCAGAAATGGAAGCGGAAAAGGAGAGGAGAATGGAGTCTGAAGGCTATCTGATAGACGGTCCCTATGATTCTTCTTATCTTGTTGGTCCCATTGGTCCCATTGGTCCCATTGGTCCCATTGGTCCCATTCCTTATTCGCCTCCGGAACCTTTTGTGGCCCTTCATGATGGATGGGTGGATCCTCAGACAGAAGAGAAAGACCAGACTATCAGAGGAGACGAGATGGGGGATGGCAGTGAAGCACAGCAAGTGGTAGGTGCACCAAGAGGGGAGAAGGAGCAGGGGCAGGCGCAGCAGCAGCAGCAGCAGGAGGAGGAGGAGGAGTGTGTGAAGGCCCGAGTACGACAGAAACTACATGAGCTGAAACTTGTGGCTGTTCCGCCATTTCTCATCGGACCCAAGGAGTTTGTGGTACTAGCGGAGGACGGCGAGGGACAGATTTCTGTTCTTTTCCAGCCTCCAACAAAGGGAGAATTCACTGCAGAAATGCTTCTTGTGTGTGACAACACTGAGAAGCAGGCATTAACCATTGTCGGCACTGGGGTTGACCTGGAGTTAGAGGTGCCAGAAGCCAATGGGCGAAGAGTAGAGGATGCCGATGAGCTGCAATGGGGCTTAACCTTTGATAGCATTCCTCCTGATGGAGCTTCCACGTGTCAAATTCGACTCCGGAATCACACGCCACTTCCAGTTCCATACGTGTGGAGACTTGAAGACGGATCAGACTGGAGGGCTCCGGAGAAGTGGGATCTGAAGGGCTCTCCCTCCTGGGCTGATGTAGAGGACGTCCTAAAGAGGGACTTATCCCTCATTGGGCCTCCAACTCTAGTATCATCACTTTCTAAATCCAATATTGATACAATGCCAGCTCAGCTGCCAGCTCAGATGCCAAATCAGATGGCAGTGGATATGCCAGCACAAATCCCAACTCAGATTCCAGCTCAGATGCCAGTGGAGTTGCCAGCTCAGATCCCAACTCAGATGCCAGATCAGATGCCAGGTCAGATGCCWGCTCAGATGACAGTGGAGATGCCAGCTCAGATCCCAACTCAGATGACAGTGGAGATGCCAGCTCAGATCCCAACTCAGATGACAGAGATCCCAACTCAGATGCCAGGTCAGATGCCAGGTCAGATGCCAGGTCAGATGCCAGGTCAGATGCCAGGTCAGATGGCAGTGGAGATGCCAGCTCAGATGGCAGAAGCTGGCGAAGACAGGAATAAAGCCGTGAACGAAAGCCTGGATGATGTATTTGCAATCTGTCCCCGCGAAGGGATCATTCCGGGGGATTCTGTGCTGGACCACACGATCACGTTCACACCAAAAGATGTCAAAGTGTACAGAGGAAGGCTGTGCTTGGAAGTGGACCCTCGACACGTTCGTCCTTTGCGGGCCGAGGTGCAAACGTTTGAGCTGCAGACCCTAAGCCCACAGGGAGTTCACGGCAAAGATGCCACCGCCACTGTCACAACAGCAACCCACAATGAGGAGGGCAGTAACCGTCCACGGATGGAGGCCTCAAAAAAGCACCTCGGAGGATCGGCAGCCAAACGGCGGCTTCTAGTGTCAAATCCCCACCTTGCCCCCTCACCCCGAACAGGAGGGTGCGGGAAAGAAATGTCGCAGCAGCAGCAGCAGCAGCAGCAGCCTGACGCTGAGCCGAGGCTCGAACCGTTGTCGGATCCTGCCGATGTGGATCGTAACAGAGCCTCCTCGGATGACAGCCTCCTCCTCGTCCAAGGAGACGAAGACTCACCCTCTCCAAGGGTCTCCTACGGCGATTACCAGCCGTTGATTGCTCTCCGGGTCAATCTACTAGGCGTTGGGACGTGGAAGATAGTATCTGTATCTCCCTCCATAGTAGTGTTCCCAGGCCTGATGTATGTCGGCGAGGTGAATACGACAAAGATAGTGCTGACGAATCATGGCGTGGCGGAAGCACGCTTCAGATGGGTGGACATGGAGGATGAAGGAGAGGCGGTACCGCCTCTCCCCGCGGCCCCGGAAACGAGGGACCATCATGTGTATGCTGCCGCTGATGGCCGTGCATACAAGCGTGGAAAGGAGCCCGTAGTTCAGCCTGAGGTGGTCATTCTCCCCCAGAAGGGTAAGATCCCACCCCTTGGGAGCTTGGAGGCAGAAGTCAGGGTGCAGCCCCATGAACCTGGACATATTTTTGTGCAGAAGTGGTGCTGCATCGATCACTCTGGCGGTCTGACGATTCCTCTCAGAGTGGAGGGCACTGTTATTTGTCCAACTCTCACCATTGATAGAGCGGTTCTGGATTTCGGCCTCGTGAAGGTACGTGCAGCACTGTCAGTGACTCCCATGCTCAGTTTGTTCGACTCAGGAGTAAAACTACCACTTTTCCCCCCCCTCCCCTCTTCTCCCCTCCTCTCTCTCTCTCTCTCTCTCTCTCTCTCTCTCTTGCTTTCTGTGCCCGGCAAATCTCAGTGCCCTTTGGAACTTTGGCCCTCTTTGGGACCTTGCTGGATTTCGGCCTAAGCTTGTGAAAGTACGCCATTCTCAGTATGCGTAACTTCGGAGAAAAACCACC